TCCTTTCCAAAGAATGATCTTTGACAAATTCTCCCCATCCGTCCTTGAACAACAGGGTACCATCTTTGCAGCTTTTAAGTCCCACGTTCCAGCCAAAACCCTCTGGACCCCTAAGAACCACAATCCTAGGTAGTTTCTTTCTCAAATACTGAACAAACCTTTCCGGGAGTTTCTGCAAACAACAGAAAAGAACAATAAGTACCAAAAAATGAAAAACCACCCCGACGTAGATTAAAAGATGATAGCTACAGACTAGGGATGTCAACGGGCCCTGCGGGGCCGGGGAGTTCCTCCCCGTCCCCGTCCCCGTCCCCGTCCCCGCGAATCATGGGGACGGGGAACCCCGCGGGGATTTTTTTAGGGGGGGCAGATTTTGCCCCCCGTCCCCGTTCCCTACGGGGAATGGGGACCCCCGCGGGGATCCCCATTCCCCGCCAATTAATCTCATCAACAACACCACTCACTCATCTACCAACCAAACAGAGCATTAAACAAACAAATTAATAAAAAATCAAAAACCTTTAAGATTAAATGTTAAACTCCAAGAATTGGAAGAAAACCAGATTTCGGGGAAATGAAATCTACCGAGCTTTGCAAGAATCTTTGAGGTGGTGATCCACAGAGAAGAAGGAGGTGGAGGAGGAACCATGGCCGATGCAAGCCGGAGAGGACACGGCATATCAAAGAACAACGGCTTGAGTCTCCCCATTACCAGCGTTCTCAACTCGAAGAACGCCTGCAAGGATCTTCATGCACTTGTGCGCCACAAGAGAGCGGATGGTGGATCTGGCACACCACACTCAGGCTTCCGTTCACCATCCCAACCTTCCTCCTCGTTTTACCTCCCTTCTTCCCGCCTTTGGCCATTTTCTTCTGCGGTGCCTTCCTGCCACGAATCGAACCTGGTGTAGGATTTTTCGCATTGTAATCAAGAGACAGCGAAACATCACGTTCTGGAAGTAAGGAGAGGAAGATGCCAGTTTGAGACTTGAGTCACTTGAAGCCGATTGCTGAGCCGTTGGTGAAGAGGTGGTAAGAGTGCCGGAAGGGATAGGTTTGGGGACGGGAGAATGGGGCAGAGGGGAGAGGAAGGTTGAAGGTGAGAGTGAGAGAGGAGAGATGAGTTAAGGCTAGGGTTAAGAAGTCAATGATGGGTTGGGTTAATATTTATGTGCTGGGTTGGCTGAATTAAAATTGGGTTAAGTTTAATTTTTATTAGGTTGGGTTTGAATTTAAAATTTGAATTAAATTTAAAATAAAATT